CAAGTATATATATATATATATATAATATATATATATTCTTAATAAAAACAAAAACAGACTAGAGCAAATATAATTATTTATTCGAAAATTATAACATTGTGTTATAAAATCAATAAACTGCAATCAACCAACAAGTGATGGTACTTATTCTTAAAAGAGTGATTTTTATAAAACAGACTAAAACAATTCATTTATAATATATATATTATTTTCTTGTATTTATTATTGAAAAATGGGAAAATATTATTAAAGATGTTAAATAAAAAAAAGACAGTAAGAAAAGTTTCGTAAATTTGAGTGTGTTGTGACGTCGGAAAACATTGTTTCAATAAAGCAGAAATTGTGTTGTTTTTATTGAAAGAATGCATACTATGGTTATTGATAATAAAATCTTGTAATTTTGTTCAAGGACCATGATTTGTTTTAACATATTTATATATGTTAATTTTCGTATGCTGCTTATTAATGTATTTCAGATGACACTATAGTCTATAAGTCTAATCTCCGTAAAGTATATATCCTATGTACTTTTTAATTACAGGAAATCATTTTCCGAATGTTTGGAACATTGAAAATACAGGGCTGAAAAAATTTGAGATATATTATTTTTAATATCTAAGTTGGCAGCTCCCAAACCTTTGTAATGACAAAATATTCTCCAAAGATAATGTTCAGTAAGACAATTCAACGGAAGTTTCGGACAAACGAGACCACTTTCAATCAAACCTTCACGGCTTTTAGATCTGCATTGTTGGGTTTCTACCAGTGAGAAATAAGTTCCGATTATTTCTTACAACTTTATCCGAACGATTTGCCAATCTTAACTTTTTTTCAGATCTAGGGTTAACCGTTATCTTAAATTCCTCCGAAAATTTGTCCCTCGTAACCCTGCCTCGAGTGTCCCTCGTGCCTTGCATTGATTTTGGTAATACATGTTAATAGCATCTCTACATACCAAGAAGAAAATCGAAAGCTCGGATCGTATTTCCTGTACTTTTCTTCCGAAATGAACTTCGGAAAGTTTCTGACGAAAGGTTCTTGCCTGAGAAGGATTATTAGTAACTTAAGTTAATCGACGCAAAATGTCTGTCGTTTTTAATACATACATACATACACACACACACACACACGCACACACACACATATATATATTTACATTTATATTTACACAGGCTCTATATCTGATATTGAGCACTTTATCCCATAAATATAGCACACCTTAAAAATTATATTTCTTCATAGAAAATATTCGTCCTCCGACAGGATTCGAATCTGTATCCTATACGGAACCGTCATATAGCCTGACGTGCCTTTTAACCGATTCTATGAAAATTTCTCGGACATTCAGGCCGGTAAATGTGTTTAATACTGTTTATTATAAACAGAGCATTTACTTAAATATTTGTATCTATAAAAAGAATGTATAAACATAAAATGTCTTAAAATAATTGTCGTACTTTGTCCATTTCATAATGTGTGACGTCATTTGTTTACATTTGATACGCCATGAGCAGATATGAATCAGCTTTAAAAAAGGACTCGTAACTGGAAAAACCGAATGAAAAAAGAATGTTAACAACAAATACTTTTCACACCCAACCCAGTTCTGCGGAATCAGAATCAATGTTGAGTTTAAGCAAGCGAATGAACCAATTGGAGTAAAGTGCCATGCAGATTTAAATTTTTCCCACTTGTGACGAATGCAGCTATCGATTTTTTTGCATGCTAGCATGCTAGTTAACATTCGTGTCAGTCAGCTGTTGGCTCTCACGCTGGCCAATAGAATCTTCCTGCCTATTCGTGGCAGCCAGATATTGGCTCTCACTCTGGCCAGTACAAAATGGCCGCAAACTACATGAAAACTGCCGTAGAAGCATGAAAAAATCGATTATTTCCACGATCGATGGTAGTTGGGAAATGCAAAGTCGGTCTTGGCCTTCCCGCTAACTTGGAGCATGTGCATGTAAATTTTGGTGCAGATCCGTCGAAAATTGCGGCCGTGCATTCGTTACACACACACACATCCTGGCTTTTATAGATAGAGATGTGTGTGTCCGTTCCATAATTCTTAAATTTAAAATTCTGGTCATATACATACAAATATAAGTGAACATTGAAGTCAATATTCAGAGGCGATTCGCGGCCTGATGACTGCGTCCAGCATGAACGAGCCTGTCGCCTCTGAGTGTTGACTTCAATGTTCACTTTTATATTTATATTTACATACGCTCTATCTCTGATATTGAGCACTAAATATAGCACACCTTAAAACTATATTTCTTCATATATATATATATATATATATATATATATATATACAGGGTGCGGCTGGTATTTGAGGACAGATTTTATAGCTTAGTAAAAAACAATTACTAAACAAATGAACATAATTATATTTGATTACAAACAAGTAAACATGAAATTTAGCCAACTATTATTTAATTTTATTCAATAAAATCATCACTAGCATCAATAACTGTCTCTACACGAGGTTGAAATCGGCTGCAGGCTCTGATTAATTGGTCCTTATTTATGTTAGACATTACTCGAACTATTGCAGCTTTAAGAGAGTCTTTGGTTTTATGAGGCTGTTTATTAACCTCCTACTTAACAACGCTCCACATATAATAGTCTAGTGGATTGAGATCTGGAGAGTTAGGAGGCCAAATGTTGGGTGTGATGGTCATCAAATGGTCAATCCATGGTTAGACATCCATTCTTGTGGGATTGTTGGGCCGAAGTTGTTTTGCAGAACCTCAATATTTCTAAACCTCAATGCAGCAGCATTTACTCTAAGACCTTGTGGAAAAAAGTGTGGTGGCATAACATGTCCTTCATTGCTAACAACACCCAATACCATAACACTTGAAGGAAATTTTGTGTGCATCACTCTTGGCACCTCAGAAGGATCTGAACAAAGACATCTGTCATTTCTTCTGTTAAGTTTTTGATCGTGATCAAAATTTTTCCCATCTGAGAAAAACCAAATCACACCAGCTTCTAAAGAATTTTCAAGTTTGTTTAAAAGCCCTTTTGGATCTGTTTAAACGGTTTTCTTCTGTTGTTTTTTTTTTTCAGACCTCTCTTCATCACGTAGAACTTGTATCGAATGAACACTTCTTGTGATTGTTTTTTTCAACCACATGCAGCTTTTTTGGCAATTGCCCTCATTGATTCACCTCAGTTTTCATCAATTGTCTGCTTAACTTCCTGAATAAATTCGGATGTTCTAACTTCATAAGAATGTGCAGAATGCCTTTTACGTTTTGATACAGACATTGGGGAACTGTCAGCGTCTTCTAATTCTTTTCGTATCTTGTGGACAAACGATCTTGCAACTCTGAGGAAACGGGTAATATCCAAATCGCTACGAACAGCCTTTAATGCCACAATCACAGCACGCCTTTTCAATTTATTTGTTGTCATAGGGTTTGCCATTCTTAAATTTTAAATCTGTATGTCCTCAAATACCAATCACACCCTGACGAGTTTCATCCGTTAAGATTTCACCGGTCTGGTCTTCGTTGATGTTGCCATGTCTACATATATATATACGAAAAAATATACACTAATTAGTTTCAAAATTTTTGAAAGATTTTTTTTTTTTTTTGAAAGAATATATTTTTTTTCAATTTAGCCAAATTCATCTGTATTCTTTTACTTTTTCTATCCATCATGTTTGTGCCTGATTATCCTACATTGTGGCATCAGAAAATCTACCAAGAATGGTGATATATTGCAAGAGCCTGGATGCAAATTTACTCTTACAATTTACTCTTGATAGATTTTCTGTTGTCACAATGTCAGGGACAAAGGTGTTGGATAGAAAAGGAATACAGATGAATTTGACTGAAAAAATATTCTAAAAAAAGTAATCTTTCAAAAATATTCTTTCAAAAATCCATTCAATTCTAAGCCATTATCCATTACACTCGAAGAGCCGAGTACCAATTCCAGTTGGTTTAATTATATTCACCACGCGAAAAATACTCTTTGGAAAGGTAAGAATCGACCCCTTCCCGCCATAGCTCTGGGTTAATTAATAAGACTAATCAATAAATCATTATTATCTCCTAAAAGAAAATATTACAATCTAAAAATTATTTTCTGGCTTTAAATAACCTACAATAGGTTGATAAGCCGTAAAAAGAAATCAGTCTATTTCATTATCAGACGATATAACCACGTTACTGTCAGTCGAGCCCATTCTTCATTTGGAAGAAAATTCTCCTGCATTCACTACTATAAAAGCAGGGTTGAGATGACATAGAAGTTTGCCACTGTTTTCTTTGTATCAAATGAAAATTTCCTGCATCTTAATACTTTGCTTGGTTTCTGGAAGGTGACATTTGCTTTTCCAATACAGCTTCGGATTCTTGTGTCAAGTTTTTGTTCGTCTGTTACTACACTAACCTGAGTTCCTATCAGCTATCTGCATGATTCTGACGTCTCCAGTCGACATCTTACACATTTGGCTATCTCTCTTGCTATGACCATATATTCGATATTCTTACAGTTAATAGTTAGCCCTTTCTTCTCGCTTTCCTTTTCTATTCTATTTCAGAGTTCTTTCAGTCTTCGTTCTGAACTTGCCATCATGTCAACTGGGAATCTTGTCCGTCGATATTATTCCTGCAAGATTTTCATGTTCTCTTATGATCAACCGGCTATGTTGTTATATGTTTAATAAAGTGTCCTTTCATAAATCATTCTTCTTTCTAAGCCATTTTATTTTCGTTTCTCTTTCTCTCTCTTAATATTTGTCTCAAAATAGATTTCTATCTTAACAAAAAAATAATCTATTGCTATATATATGATACTAAAAAAAAAACACTGTGCTATTATTCGATATGGAAAAAGAGAAAACGTCTACTAAAAAATGAAAAAACAAAAACAATATTATACTTTTATCAATTTTTACAACGACAAGGTTGGGTCCAACCAAGACGACCTTTAAAAAATGTTTATCTCAGGTGTATTAAAAATATCCTTTAAAACACTTACATAATGAAATAACAGCATGAGAAGTACAAGGAAGGAAGGAAGGAAGGAAGGAAGGAAGGAAGGAAGGAAGGAAGGAAGGAAGGGTGGGTGAATGGGAGGATGGATGGGTGAATGGGAGGATGGATGGGAGGAAAGAAAGAAGGAAGAAAGAATGTAAGTAAAGAAGGAAGGAAGGAAAGAAGTAATTAAGGAAGGAAAGAAGGGATGAAGGCAGAAAGGCAGGAAGGAAGGAGAGGATGGATGGGTGGATGGGAGGAAGGGAGGGAGGAAGGAAGGAAGGAAGGAAGGAAGGAAGGAAGGAAGGAAGGAAGGAAGGAAGGGCGAATGGGAGGATGGATGGGTGAATGGGAGGATGGATGGGAGGAAAAAAAAGAAGGAAGAAAAAATGTAAAAAAAGAAGGAAGGAAGGAAAATTAAATTAAAATAAGGAAAGAAGGGATGAAGGCAGAAAATCCACAAGAAGGAAGGAGAGGATGGATGGGTGGATGGGAGGAAGGAAGGAAGGAAGGAAGGAAGGAAGGAAGGAAGGAAGGAAGGAAGGAGAGAAAACTTAACGACGGAAGGATTTGCTGAATGATAAATCAAAAAAAGGTGAAGAGAGAAATTAAAAAAAGAAGGGAAAATGAAAAAATACATAAAATCAAATCTAAACAGAAAAAAAGAAGCAAACAAACAAATAACAAGACAGAAAGAAAAAAAGAAAGAAAAAGAAGAGTGTGAGAATTAACGAGAAAAGAAAGATAGAAAGAAAGGACAAAGAACAAAATTAATGGACGAGAAAGAAAGAAGGAAAAATGAATGAAAGAAATATTAATAAAATAAAAAAAGAAAAACAATAACGAGGCAAAAAGAAAAAGAAAAAAATGACAAAAGCTGAAAAAAGAAAAAGAAAAGTAAGAACGAAAATGAAATAAAGAATGAACAAAGAAGAAGAAAGAAAGAAAGAAAGAAAGAAAGAAAGAAAGAAAGAAAGAAAGAAAGAAAGAAAAAGATAAGGCGGATGACAAAGAAAGAAATACTGGCTCAAAACACAAGGAAAGAAAGAGTGAGAGAATAACAAAAAACAAGAAAAAAGAAAGGAAAGAGAATGAAAGAAAGACAAGGTGAAAGAATAAATAAGTGAATGATTTCTTACGAAATAGGTTATATAGTTTTTCTTTTTTCATAACAACTAATTATGACGTCATGCTGACATCATTTGTCGATTTGGGTTGCGAAAAATCATCAGTGGCAACTGCTACTGCTGATGCTGTCTACTGAATGGACCCCTCCCCCACACACACACGCACACGCACAACTACTCTCTCTCTTCTCTCTCTCTCTCTCTCTCTCTCTCTCTCTCTCTCTACACGTACACACACACACATAGACATACAAGTCGTTTCCATAAACAAAAAAAATCTGGGATATACTTAATGAACCTTAGATCTGTTCCATTCAATGATTTTAAGTTTACGTACACACCTACACTATACACGCTCATAGATACAATTTTTTTAATCATTTCACCCCAAGCAAGGCAATAACGCCACTAAGACACAAGAAGCAACTGAGTGTTAGAGAATATGAGAAAAAAAAAACAGGAATTACAAAGACAGAAGATAACGATTACCACTGTATTTACATTGTTGAAAAACAAAGTTAACTGACAAATAAGCTGTGAGAGTGTTTCACAAGTGTTTCAGAAGTGCAAGAGAAGAAACGTTTAGTATAGAACTGACGGTTTTGATCAATCTATTCCAACTGTAAAATGCTTAGACCTCGCCGCTAATCTAGAGCTGCGTTTAAATTTATAAAGTCTAGGTACCAAATATGGAGCGACTGATTCGTTTTCTATGGCTTATCAACTCATTGCAGGTTATTTAGGCCAGAAAATATTTTTAGATTTCTTGCAAATAATAATGATTTAGTTATACAATTCTTAGTAATTAACCCATAGCTGAGGGGAAGAGAGGTGGATTCATACCTTTCCCAATGACATTTACGCCTAAGTTAATATAATGAACCCAACTGGAATTGGAACTCGGCTTCGCGATTAAAAATTCAGAGCCCTTGTTCATTACGCCATCCTCACATCCACATTACAGCACCTGGCATCTGCAAGAGGTCACCCATCTAAGTACTGACCAGACTCGACGTTGCTTACCTTCGATGATCTTACGTTAAGCCAGAAACGAAAGAGAAAAACTCATCAGAACAATTATCATGAAAATATTTATCGAAAAGACGTAGGGAAGATACATTACGGCGGTGAGAAAGTGACTGCGGACGAGTTGCCAGGTCAGGACCAATAATACTGCAGATTCTTCTTTGGATTTTATCAAGAATATCTACATAAATAGCAAATGCATCAGGCCAGATATGGCAGCAATATTCAATGCATCAATGAATGATAGGCTTGTTAATGTGTCAGATAGATTATTTGGTACATAGACTTTATGAAATAAGACACAGTTCTCGACCGGTGGATAAGTCTTATCATTTTACAGTTGAATGTATCCGGATGTTCTATACTAACACTTTCTTTACTCGCACTTCTTATTTGTGGAACTCTCTTATCATTTTACAGTTGAATGTATCCGGAAGTTCTATACTAACAGGTTCTTCACTCGCACTTCTTATTTGTGGAACTCTCTTATCATTTTACAGTTGAATGTATCCGGAAGTTCTATGCTAACTGTTTCTTCACTCGCACTTCTTATTTGTGGAACTCTCTTCTGACTTCTTGTTTTCCAGTCAATTTTGATCTTCAAAAAAATTAAATGCGGTATCAATTATTATCTTTTATCTTCGTTGTTCCTCTTCTTTTATAGTTCCCTCTCATTAATAATGTTTTCATCATATTGTCTCACAGTCAGTGACTCATTTAGTTTCAATGGCTTTATTGCCTTACTTGGGATGAAATGATTTAAAAACATATACTTGTAATGTTTCAAATATTCCATCAAAGTTCCTTCTATTCACCTTATGACGTCTTCCAGAATGTTTTTATCCTTCAGCTCAAAATCTTTCTGGCACTTTGTTACCCATTTGCTAGTTATCTGGCGCGTTTTTCCCAAATAGAGGCTAAATAAAGTAAAATTATCACTTTTCCGCGGACATGTCTTCGTCTTTATACCCACACAATAAAGTTGGTTCCCTGTGTCGCACCAGAAAGTTTTTTATCGCCCGAGTCCATCCTTCAAATCTATAAATCAACCATTCGTCCTTGCATGGAATACTGCTGCCATATATGGTCTGGTGCTGCCGCTGTTCGGCTTAAGGTCCTCGACAAGATCCAGAGACGAATAAGCAGTGTGCTTAGTCCTGATCTGGCATCTCATCTACAGTTGTTCTCTCACAGACGTGCCGTCGCCTCCCTCTGTCTTTTCTACAAATACTTTCACGGTAACTGATACGACGAGCTACTTTCGCTAGCTCCCAAACTGTATGAATTTAAGCGTGCTACTAGGCTGGCATCATGGTCCCACCCTTTCACTGTCGAAACGGTTAAATGTGCCCGTCTCTTCTACTCCAATAGCTTCATTTCTCGCACCTCCCGTCTGCGGAATTCCGTTCCTATTACTTGTTTCCTAGATAGCTATAATCTCCAACTATTCAAATGTAATGTCAATCGACATTTCCAGATGCCCTGACCTATTCCCTGTGCTTCTCTTCAGCCTTTCCTCCGTTACGCCTTTTTACTCTCGCTTCTACTCTGTAACCTCTTGCGTACTAGTGGCATTCCGCCTTGCTTGCGGTGAAATGCTTAAAAAAAAAAAAAAAAAAAACACTTTTAAGATTTCTAGAACATCGTGGCGAGGATTACGTTAGGAATTTAAACGTGCTACTTGATTGGCGGCAAGGTCTCACCATTTTACAATAGAAATGGCAAGATGTAACCGTAAGGTTAATACTAACAGTTTCTTTTCTCGCTTGGGGAACTCTCATCCGGCTTTTTGCTTTCCATTCAACTTTGACCTTTAAAAAGTAGATGCAATATCAATCGTTATCTTTTTCTTCATTGATCTCATTCATTAATAATGTTTTCTTTTTCTTATATTCTTCCACACTGAATACCCCCACCCCTTGTGTCTTAGTAGCTTTATTGCTTTGCTTGGGGTGAAATGATAAAAACTAATATGCCACTAATGTATGTAAGACCTCGAAGTTAAATCCTTCAATTATTTTCTGTCCACACACACATACGTACTTTGATAGTAATTACAACCGAGTACTGAGTTCGATTCCCACTGGGCGGCTCTTAAGTTCGGCCTTGTGCCATATCTAAGTTACGCTTGGAAAATAGCCATACCTACTTTGATAGGTGCCTCAATATTTTTTCTGCCAAATGAACATCATTTATATTATACAACAAACTAGTTTTAATTTAATCCCCTTCAAACATACATTATGTTTTCCCACAGTTAATCATTTTTTTTTACTTTCCTTTGTTTTTAATCAATTCACCCTAAGCAAGGCAATAATGTCACTAAGACGCAAGGTGGCTACAATCCTAAACAAGAAACAAGTGATAAATTTCTACTCATTTTCAAAAGACTAGGGAGGAGTGAGAACTTGGCGATAGTCAAACTTTCTGTTCCTACTGATGAAAAACAAAAAATAAATAGTCAATAAAATTTCAGAATTTAGACGGAGACATTAGAAGTATAGAGTTAAAATAGATTTTAAAGGGAACCGGAAACTCAATCCTAAACAGGAAACAAGGAACTTGCCACTATTCATGTTCAAAAGACTGGGGAGGCGTGTGAATCGGTCGATAGGCGAATCTATCGCCTCCTGTCGAAGAAGAAAATAGTAAATAAAATTTCAGAGTTTAGACGAAAACGCTAGATGTGTAGAATTAAAGTAGAATTTGGAAGGAACCGGAAACCCAATCCTAAACAGGAAACAAGTGATAAATCTCTACTCATTTTCCAAAAGAAGGTGCGTGAACCGGACGATAGGCGAACCTATCTATTTCTATGACTACCTTGCCTCAGTTCTTAATTTTTCTTTCTCCAAATGACTCACCTATCTATCTTATGATGATTTACTAAGCATAGCTTAGACGTGGCAAAAGGCAGAAAGTATGGAGCGCTCGGTGAATATCGAACCCACTACTCACTCGTAATTGATCTAGCGAGACAAGCTTGCTAACCATTACACCGACGAGAGGCGCCCAATAGGTCTACCCCGTTTTGTTATGGCTATATCAGCTGAGGCAAAATCATCGTGAATCTTCGGATCGTTTCGCTTTCAATGAGACTCGTCGGAGCACGTGAATGGAATAAATAGATAGACAGACTGAATGGCATGTAAGGACGTTTGCCGCCAATAGCCACTCAAGCCTAGCTCGCCAATCGAAGGTAATCTAGCATTCGTCGGGGAAAGAAAACAAAAGCAAAAAACAAATCGAAAATTGGTATTCATATGAGCAGTTGCCTATTCCGTTCGATTTTATTCTGATCGCTGATTTTTAAAACAGACCACGTGATCAATCTCACATGTTTTGCCACTTGATTTAAGACACAAGATCTTGTGATTTTTGATACTTCTTCGCTGATATAACGCCGAAAATATTCCATAGACTGACAAAGAGAAACTTAAGGCCTGTAGGTTGCGTTCAGGCATGAAACCGACTTCAAGTACGCCGTAAAACCTAGTTTCTCCAAAAATCACCGCGCCGCGCCTAGGATGATAATAGTAATATATATATATATATATATATATATATATATATATATATATGAATGAAGAAATATACTCTTAAGATGTGATATATTTATAGGATAAAGTGCTCAATATCAGAGATAGAACCTGTGTAAATATAAAAATAAACATTGAAGTCAACACTTAGAGGCGACAGGCTGTTTCCTGCTAGACGCAATTGTCATGACACGAGACTTCTATGTTCACTTTTATATTTACATGTGTGTGTAAATCCCACACGGATAAAATATAAGAAATTGAAAATGGAACTGGAGTCTTTAAGGATATTTATTTAGAGAAACTTAACATTCTATATTCTTCAAAAGTTAAATTGACATGGTGTAATGTGTGACTATGCCATATGTCTCGCATCGGATGAAAAATATAAAAATCCTAGAACTGCGAAACCGGTAAAGTTACTCTAAATAAATATCCTTAA